GACTGAGCCACCCAGGTGCCCCACAAATGTTATTTTAAATTTTATTTCCAAGCTTTTTTCTTAGTGTATATGAATATAGTTGACTTATTGTATATTGTTTCTGTTTCTTTCTGGTTTGTTAAATCCTCTTATTAATTCTAATACTTAATCTGTAGTTTTATTTATTTTTTAAGTTTATTTATTTATTTTGAGAGAGATGTGAGCAGGGGAGGGGTAGAGAGAGAGGGAGAGAGAGAGAGAAAGAGAGAGAGAGATTGAGAATCCCAAGTAGACCCCACACTGCCAGCACAGAGTCCAATGTGGGGCTCGAACTCATGAACTATGAGATCATGACCCAGGCTGAAACCCAGAGTTGGGTGCTTAATTGACTGAGCCATCCAGGCACCCCTTAATCTGTAGTTTTAAAAAGATGTCCTGTATTCTCAGTTATTTCATTAGTTAATTATAGTTTTATTTCTTGCTTTTTGGTCTATGTACTTTTTATTTCTTTTTCTTATTGTGTTACCTTTAATAAAATGTTGAAAATTGCCTTATTCCTGATCTCAGGGTGAATGCTTTCAACTTTTCACTGTTAAGTATGATGTTGCTGAACATTTTTTTATAGATTCTGCTGACCAAATTAAGGAAGCTCTCTTTTGCTTATTGTTTTCTGAGAGCTTTTTATTTTTTTAAGTTTATTTCTTTAAGCAGTCTCTACACCCAGTGTGGGGCTGGAACTCATGACCCTGAAATCAAGAGCCACGTGCTCTACCGACTGAGCCAGCCAGGAACTCCCTGAGAGTTTTCTTTTTTAATATTTGAGCAGTTGTGTATTTTCACATGCTTTTTCTTTATTATCATGTAATTGTTTTTCTTTTACCATCTTAATGTAGAGAATTATAATGATTGATTTTTAATGTTACACTTCAGATTTCTGCGAGAAACCCAACATGGTTATGATATATTATTTTTATCTGTTGTCACTTTCAGTATGCTATTATTTTGTGTAGAATTAGGATTTACTTTGTGAACTATATTGGCCTGTAATTTTTCATTCTCATATTTTCTTTGCTTCCTTGTTTTGGTAATATCTATATGCTTTAAGTCCTTTGAGATTTAGTTGTAATCTTTTAAGATTTTTTTCATATATTTTCTTTTTTTCATATTTTTGCTGTCACTTGACTGTGATATCTGTAGATATGGGTTTTTAAAATACATTTTGGATTCACTACAATTCTTTTTTTTTTCCTGTATAGCATAATAGAATTTATGTGAATTAAATACACACATAACACTATGTGTGTTAAAAGGATAACTATAGATTTAAGGATGCATATCAAAAGCATTAGGGGTGATCTGTAAAGATTGGGAGTGAACTAGAAAGCAAGCATAAAAAAGAATAAAACAGTATTAAAGGATGGAGACTTGCATGAACCAAAGATGTTGGTGACTCCTTTCTCTTCAGTTTCTCAGTGCATCTCATATGCTGTTTTCTTTTCAGTCAGGATTAAATCAAATGAAGTATTTTTGGATTCACTGATCTTCTTGATCTGAAACTTGGTGTTTACTTTAGTTCTGGAAAATTCTCAGCTGTTATTTCTTCAGAATATAGTTTATGTCTCTTTATTTCTCTCTTCTTCTTTCTGGAACTGTTACACCCTCTGACTTTATATTCTTTTTTAACCTTTTTTTCTGTAGTTTCCATTTTTATATTTTCTTGCTGCATCCTTGATATTGTATTTAATCTTTTTTATAGTACGCTAAATCTCTCTTCAGCTATGTACGGTCTTTGCCAAACATATTGAGTTGTCAGTTGTCAATTATATACTTTTTCTATCTAGAGATTATACTGGGATATTTTAAAAATCTGCTCTTCTTCGCAAATAGTTTCAACCTTGACTTTATTTCTTTAAACATAGTAACCATAGCTGTGTTAAAGTTCTTTTGTGTGATAATGGAAAAATCTGCAGTATGTGTGTGTGTGTTTCTATTATCTATTTTTTTCTGCTTGTTCTCATAATGCAGTGTTGTGTCCTATGCCTGATTATCTTTATGTGCTGCTCATTGTCCTTGAAAAATAATTTTTAAAGATTTCTTGAGTACCTACAATAAAGTTACATTTCTCTAGAAAGAATTTTTATTTGCTTCTGCTAGATTCTTATGGGCACTACCAGTTTGAAAACATTTGAGATCCTATTCATAAGTTGAGGTTTCTTTCACAGTCCTATGAAACCACCTTTGTTAACAGACTTATCTGAAATTAAGTTAATGGCAACTTTCTGGGATGAGACAGTTTTTACTTCATATCTCCGCCTCCCTTTCTTCTCTTTTATGCTTTATCTACTTGGCACCTGGGCAGCTATCCTATAGAAGGTGGTTATTTTTGCTTCAACCTTAAGTGAGTTTAACTCTTCTGAATTCTGTTTACTATAATAGGTCTCTTATTAGACTTCACACTTTGTCAGACCCTAGGTTTGCACTCCCTGTCTCTCACACCAGAGGTCATCAGTGTTGTTATTTAATTTTACTCAATTTGGCAGATACCCACAGGATGAACATGGCTTTCTCTGTTTAGCTTAGTTCTTGGCCCATGGTCTTTTTAGAATTTAGAATTTGGATTTATAATTTTTTACTGTTTTGCTAGGTCTTTGATACTTTTAGGAAGGTTTAAAAATATTCAAAATTGTAATTGTTTTTAGCTGGAGGGTTTATCCAACTAATGTAGCCCATCGTTTTCAGGAATGGAAATTTCCCTTTTAGAAAGTTTCTTGCATGCACACCTGTGATGGTTAATTTTATGTGTCAAGTTGGCTAGGCTATGAGGGTAAGCCAGTTTTATTTTATTTTATTTTATTTTATTTTTTTTATTTTATTTTATTATTTTTAAACGTTTATTTTGAGAGAGAGAGAGAGTAGGGGAGGGGCAGACAGAGAGAGAGAGAGAGAGAGAGAGAGAGAGAGAATCCCAAGCAGATTTTTCACTGTCAGCTTAGAGCCTGACACAAGGCTTGAACTCATGAACCATGAGAGCATCACCTGAGCTGAAATCAAGAGTCTGACACTTATCCAAATGAGCCACCCAGGTGCCCTAGGGTAAGTTAATTTTAAAAAAATACAAGAAAATACATTGATCAAATGTATTTGGTCAAACACCTGTTTAGACATTGTTGTGAAGGTAATTTTTAGATGAGATCAACATTTAAATCAGTAGACTTTCAGTAAAGCAGATTATCCTCCATAATGTGGGTGTTCCTATCCAAATAGTAGAAGTTCTTAAGAGGAAAAACTCATGTTCCTAAAGGAAGTCTGCTTTGAGACTGCCTTTGGTCAAGTTGAAATATCATCTCTTCTTTGGGTCTTCAGCCTACTGTCCTGCCCAGAGGATTTCAGGTTTGCTGGACTCCCAATCACATGATCCAGTTCCTTAAAATGAATTTTTTTCTCTCTCTCTCTGTACATATACATCCTACTGGCTCTGTTTCTTTAGATAATGCTTACTAATATAATACCTATCAGAATGGCTAGGATAAAAAAAATAGTGATGACACCACCACTGGTGGGATTTGGAGAAGCTGGATCACTGATACATTGCCAGTGAGACTGTAAAATGGTATTACCATTCTGGAAAATAGTTTGGTAGTTTCTTTCACAGCTAAAAGTGGACTGTATTCATTCAGCCCAGCAATTGTTCTCTTGGACATTTATCTCTAAGAAATGAAAACTTATGTAGAAACTTGTATATGAATGTTCATGGTAGCTTTATTCATAAAAGCCCAAAGTGAAAATGACTCAGATGTCTTTCAGTGAGTGCATGGTTAAACCATAGTATGTCCATACTATGGAATATTACTCAGCAATATAAAGAGTGAACTGTTGATACAACAGCTTGGATGAACCTCAAGGTAATTATCATGAGTGAACAAAATCTAGTCTTTTTTTTAAAAATTAGATGAGATTGATTGATTCATTGATTTTTCAAAGTAATCTTTACACCCAACGCAGGGCTTGAACTCACAACCCTGAGACTGAGTCACATACCCTACTGACTGAACCAGTGAGGCACCCCTGAACAAAATTCAATCTTAATAGGTTACGTGATGTAGGATTCCATTTTGTGTATAATGCTGTTGAAATAAACAATTATAGAAATAGAGAACAGAGTAGTGTAGTGGATATGGAAACAAGCTGCATGAGGGAGCTACTGTTGATGGTACAGTACTGTATTTTGATTGTGGTGGTAGCTACATGAAGCTATACATAAAATAAACTTGCACAGAATTATACACACGCCCACACACAAATGAGTGAATGTACAGGTGGAAGAATTTTATAAGTTCTGTGTATTGTACCAAAGTCAGATATACAGTTTTTATAGTGTACTCTATTAATATGCAAGATCTTAACATTGGAAGAGGCTGAGTGGTGTATGGACACCCTCTACATTTCTTTCCAACTACCTGTGAATTGATATTTATTATTATGAAAAGTTGAAAAGAGAAGTTTCTTGTAGCCTGACTCATACTGAGAAAGATATTTAAGTCTTGGCTTTTAGTAAAAGGCAGTTACTTCATTCTTTCTCTTTCAACTCTGTAGGGTTTAAAGATTGAAATACTATTAGTATTCATAGCATCCTTACAAAATGTGATATATCAAGGCAAAGTTAGGAAGCACATGGTCTGGCAGCTTTGGTATGAAGCAGTTACTGAAGGGTCACACCTTGTCTGCAATTTAGGAATCCAGCTTTTAAGATGTGGTGTTTAGGGGAAGAAAATTTAGTTTGTGCAGGTACTAAGGTAACATAAAAAGCCTCAGCCACAGAAACTATGGATGCATCACAAAACACAAGTGGTGTCAAGATTAGAATAGTATTGATGACAAAACTGTTATTCAGTGCTAAACCTGAAGTATTATGGGATACAGGTGGTTATATCTTTATGGTAAATGTACTTTTGCTTGAAAAACCTAGATAAATGATTTTTTTCAGTTAAAACCTTTTTATATTACAGGAAGTAAATGTTAATATGGACAATCATTTTAAGACTGATTCATCATCCTCTACCTTTGCTCTTCAAAGTTCTTCAGAGACCATGTTTTCTATTCAGCTATTAGATTTCAAAACAAGTTTGCTGGAAGCATTAGAAGAATTACGTATGAGAAGGGTAAGCTCATTTTTATAATGCTTTAAAATTTTTTTATTATTTATATTTTAGTTAATATACAGTACACTATTGGTTTCAGAAGTAGGATTGAGGCTCCTGGGTGGCTCAGTTGGTTAAGCATCTGACTCTTGATTTCTTCTTAGGTCATGATCTTACGGTTCTTTTTTTAAAGTTTACTTATTTATTTTGAGAGAGAGAGAGAGTGAGCACATGCACAATCATGGGAGGGACAGAGGGAGGGAGATAGAATCCCAAGCAGGCTCTGCACTCGCAGTGCAGAGCCCAGTGTGGGGTTCGAACTAATGAACTGTGAGATCATGACTTGAGCCAAAATCAAGATTTGGACCCTTAACCAACTGAGCCACCCAGGCACCCCAAGATCTCACAATACAGCTCACGAAGATATTGGCAAAGGACATATCTGATAAAGGGTTAGTATCCAAAATTTATAAAGAACTTACCAAACTTAACACTTGAAAAACAGACAACCCTGTTAAGAAATGGGCAGAAGACATGAATAGATACTTTTCCAAAGAAGACATCAGATGTCTACCAGACACATGAAAAGATGTTCAACATTAGTCCTCATTAGGGAAATACAAATCAAAACCACGATGAGCTACCGCTGCACACCTGCCAGAATGGCTAAAATTAACAACGCAAGAAACAACAGGTGCTGGCAAGGATGTGGAGAAAGGGGAACCCTCTTGCACTGCTGGTGGGAATGCAAACTTGTGAAGTCACTCTGGAGAACAGTATGGAGGTTCCTCAAAAAACTAAAAATAGAACTACTCTAGGATCCAGCAATTGCACTAGTAGGTATTTACCCAAAGGGTACAGGAGTGCTGTTTCCAAGGGACACATGCATATCTGCATAAAATTGTAAAAGATGTTTGGTTTCAGCAGATATGTATTGTTAAAAGCATTACATTTCTGAGACTCTCTGTGTCTAAATTTGAAGCATATGTTGTTAACTCTCTGTAAGATAGATTGGAGTTGGTACAATTTTGGAGAGAAGAAAATAAATTATAAAATTGTTATAATCTAGGGATGAGGTCATTAGGATTTATATATAACTGTGAAGATAGAACAGGAGAGACAGGAAGGAGAATCAATAGAATTTGGTGATTTCTTGAAAATGAGCTGTGAGAAAAGATCTGAAACAACATTTTTATTATGTGAACTTTGTTCTAGGATTTAAAAATATTGCAATTTGTTATATTAAGAAAATTTAATTACCATGATCATCCTATATAAAAGCTATTTATTATCTGTATAACAAAAGCCTATTTAATAAAGAAGAAATCCTGCTTAAAAAGGGTGTGTTGGATAAGCATTAAAAAGTGATTTTTGTAAAAGTAGCTTAAAGTGGTATCTTTTCTAAGTTAAAGCAACACTAGGTAACAATTTAAAACCTCATATTCATGTTTTACTATGTTCTAAGCATTATGTTTGGTCTGTTTCTATTTCCATTTAAAAAAAAATAAACTTCCCTTAAAAATCTTTTGAAAATTTCAGGGTAGCAATAGAAATGGTGTTTTTAATAGCTAAATGCAGAACTAAATACTACTTAAAAAAAATGTTGTATTTATTTTTGAGAGAGAGGGTGGGGGGAGGGTCAGAGATGGGGACAGAGGATCCAAAGCAGGCTCCATGCTGATAGCAGTGAGCCTGATGCGGGACTCAAACTCAGGAACCATGACAGCATGGAGCCTGATGTGGGGCTCTAACTCAGGAACCATTAAGATCGTGACCTGAGCCAAAGTTGATGCTGAACCAACTGAGCCACCTAGGCACCCCAGTAAATACGACTTTTAATAACATTCTTTATTGAAAGAACTTTATTTGTAAGAAGGGGAAAAATTCCTCCTTTTTATTGGAAGAAGATACATGTTGATTTAGTATGGTGGCAACACTTTATCCTTATTGCTGGATTTTAACTTTTCCCTCATATTTTATTAGGAAAATTTTAAAAATACATAAATGGTGAAAGAATTGCATAGTAAACACCCATATACCCACCATGGTAGGTAGAATAATGGTATCCCACTGATGTCCACATCCTAATCCTGAGAACCTTTGAATATGTGACCTTACATGGCAAAAGGGATTTTGCAGATGTGATAAAATTATGAATTTTGAGATGGAGGGATTGGCTAGATTATTCAGGTGGGCCCAATGTCTTCACAAAGGTTTAGAATAAGAAGCAGGATAATCAATATCAGAGAAAAAGATGTGATGACAGAAGTAGGGGCACGGTCAGAAAGAGATTTGAAGGTGTTATGCTGCTGCCTTGGAAGATGGCAGAAGGAAGCCATGAGTCAAGGAATGCAGGTGGAAGCTCGAAGAGGCAAGGAATTTTTCTGTGGAGACTTCAGAAGCTCTGCAGTCCAGACAATATCTTGATTTTAGTTAAGAACATATCAGACTTCTGATTTCCCAAACTGTAATAGAATAAATATGTGCTGTTTTAAGCCAAAAAATATGCTGTAGTTGGTTACAGCAGTAATGGGAATCTAATACACTCACTGCCCAGATTCTACTCTTGGTCTCATATATATTCTTCTATCATTGGTCTCATTTTTTTGATGCATTTCCATGCAAGTTTGAAATAAGTATTCTTTAGTTTGTATATCATTAACTGAAGTTCAGCATTTATGTATTTTTCTTTTAATATAAGGTGTATATACAGTTGACCTTGAACATGGGTTTGAACTGCACAAGTACACTTATATGCAGTTTTTTTTCAATAAATACAGTACAATGCTGTAAACCTATTTGTCTTATAAATTTCTTAACATTTTTTTCTCTAGCTAACTATTGGAAGAATACAGTATATAACACATGTTACAAACAAAATATGTGTTAATAAAGTGTTTATGTTATTGGTAAGGCTTTTGGTCAGTAGTAGACTGTCAGTAGTCGTTTTGGGGTAGTGGAAAGTTATATGTAGATTTTCAACTGTGCTGGGGTTGGTGCCCCTAACCTTCATGTTCAAAGGTCAACTGTGCAATGAAGTGTATAGTTCTTAACTGCACCATTTCATGAGTTTTAACAAATGTCATCTGATTCTTTGTCAAGATATAGAACATTACTAACTCCCCCAGAAAGTTGCTTCATGTCCTTTGTCACTTATTCCTCATCCTTATCCATCCAGAGTCAACTGTTGTTCCAGTTTTTTCCACCATGGATTAGTTTATCTTTGTTCCAGAAATTAATGTAAAAGGAATCATTATAATGTATGTTCTTATGTATAAGGCTTATTTATGCAGTATAACATTTTATTTATTTTATTTTTATTCACAGTATAATATTTTAAAGATGAATTTGTGTTGTACATATCAGTAGATTTTCCTTTTTATAGCAGAATACTATTCCGTTGTATAAATGTAATACAGTTGGTCCATCTGTTGGTTACTTAGGTGGTTACTAGTTGTTGGCTATTATGAATAAAGCTATGGGAATATTTTTGTACAAGATTTTGGGAGGCATGTATGACATACTAAGCAAGAGATCTTATTTGGGAACTATTTATGGGATGTTGATTACCTCACATGCCCTTTCTGCTCTCTTCAGTCTTCATTGAAAAATTTTAATATTTCCCCATGGTAGTCTGAAGAAATATTTTTGTTTAGCATTTTAAAAAGAAAGCAAAAAATATGCAATTAAAGGTAATAATTGTATTTAATTTGTAAAGCTAAAAAAGGGAGAACTAAAATACTGAACTACAATTTTTAATGCGCTTGGATGGAATTGATTGTTAGGTCCTTGTATTGTTTAGGAAATAAGACATTGACCAGCTGTAGACTTTGTTTAGTTATGTAGGCATATTAAAGTTTTCAGGATAATCAGCAAATCAATAGAAATAGGGTTTGTATCATCCCAAATAGTAGAAAGAAATGTATCATCCCAAATAGTAGAAAGAAAATATGTAATCATAAATTATCTTCAATTTGATATTGCAAATAGCTGTAAAGAAAGAATAATTTTAGGTTTTAGCTGTCTCTGAAGCTTTATCCTGGTAAAAATGTTGATGCTGTCTTCTGTGTATTCCAGAAACTGGCCCAGCTAATCTACATTTTTCTAATTAGTTTTAATACTGACAGGTCTGTTAATAGTAAACTCAAGGCTTTCTTTTCTCTTTCCTTTCTCCCTCAAATGTCTTTATTTTGCCGTGGATTTGTAGATTGCCATTTATGTTCTGTCAATATTTTAAAGAGATTATTGAATTCTTTTGTTGTAGTTGAGAAAGTTGATGTTCATTTAATTGCCCCTCTGTTTCTTTCTATTTGCTCATTAGAGCTTCTTTTCCCCTTTATTTGGCTCCAGTTTTAATGAGTCTAGGGGAGAATTTATTTACATTTTGTGAGACTCATTTTGGTTCCTGAATCTTAGGAAAATTTTCACCCATGATCTTTTTGAGTACTGCGTCTCCCCTATCTTCTGTTGTCTTCTTCTGGAACTCCCATTAGATAGCATACTGGACCACATCATTTTATCTTTTATGATTCTTAACTCTTTTATGTTTTTTTATCTATTTGCCTCTCTATTGCATTCTGTGTAATTCATTTTGTTGTTTCCTAATTATCTCTTCAGATGTTTTTACTTGCTAGCTAATTGCTTAGAGTTTTAAATTTCAATAACTATATTTTTCATTTCTGTGGTTCCTTCAAAGAATCTGCTATGGGAGCCTGGGTGTTCAGTTGGTTGAACGTCTGACGTCTGCTTAGGTCATGGTCTCATGGTTTGTGGGCTTGAGCTCTATGTCAGGTTCTGTGCTGATAGCTCAGAGCCTAGAGCCTGCTTCAGATTCTGTGTCTCCATCTCTCTCTGCCCCTACCCCCACTCTCAAAAATAAACAAACATTAAAAAAAAAAAAAAGAATCTGCTATGGTCTGAATATTTGTGTCCTCCAAAATTCAAATGTTGAAACCTAATGTCCAGTATGAGGGTATTAGGAGGTAGGGTCTTTGTGAGGTGATTAAGTCAGGAGGGATAGA